TAGCGAAACGTCACCTCTGCCGTTACTTGTCGTACACGTGGCACGTATGGTGACGCAAGTTCGTCACTATTTATCTGGGTGACGCAACAGCGTCACTAATAGCGTCTTTTTTGGTGACGATATTGCGTCACCCTGGTGATTTTACCGAGGTTAATTACTGCGATGGGTGACAAAATTTCGTCACCAAATGTTAGGGGTGACGCAAAAGCGTCACCAACAGCGTCTTTTTTGGTGACGATATTGCGTCACCCCTATGTTGCGTCCCCCCTATGGGTATATATACGGCGTGACGCAATTGCGTCAATCCCACAAACAGACGCCCTCCCCTCTCTCCTCAAGCGCCTTCGGTAAAGGTAATTTTTTTTTTTTAAATTTTTTAAATTTTTTAAATTATTATATTTATAATAATTTAAATTTTTAATAAATTACAGATGAGTCGTTCTTTCGGAAGGGGATCACGGTTATCAGGCGAAAGATCTCAACATCAGAGATCTCCGTCAATTGATATGGCCGAATCTCAACCTAACAACCGATGAGGATAGTGATTAAATTTTATGTAATTACGAAATCTTAAAAAAAAAAAATAGACATAGTGTGACGCATCTGCGTCACCAAAAGGATCAATATAGTGACGAAATTGCGTCACTAACTGGAACCGGTGACGCAGTTTCGTCACCAATATAGGTGACGCAATTTCGTCACCCCACTAGCGAAACGTCACCTCTGCCGTTACTTGTCGTACACGTGGCACGTATGGTGACGCAAGTTCGTCACTATTTATCTGGGTGACGCAACAGCGTCACTAATAGCGTCTTTTTTGGTGACGATATTGCGTCACCCCTATGGGTATATATACGGCGTGACGCAATTGCGTCAATCCCACAAACAGACGCCCTCCCCTCTCTCCTCAAGCGCCTTCGGTAAAGGTAATTTTTTTTTTTTAAATTTTTTAAATTTTTTAAATTATTATATTTATAATAATTTAAATTTTTAATAAATTACAGATGAGTCGTTCTTTCGGAAGGGGATCACGGTTATCAGGCGAAAGATCTCAACATCAGAGATCTCCGTCAATTGATATGGCCGAATCTCAACCGCAACCACCAACGCAGGTTACAATTGATAACGTGGCTGAGGTATTAGATAATCCTGCAAGAATTTTGTTACCGAAACTGGATCCGATAAAAAATCCAGGAACAAAATGGTAATTTAAAATTCAATATTGTTATTTTAAATATTTTATTTAAATATAAAAATTTAATTAAAATTTATTAATATTTTTTAGGTTTGGTGTTGATGTTGAGATAACCACCAATTTATCAAAATTCATCAAACAGAATTTTAAAGGTGCTTATCTTAATTGGAGTACGATCCCACAACCTACCAAAGATTCGTGGTGGTTAAGTTTTGTGGTAAGTTTTTTATATTTATAAATACATATAAAATTAAATTTGATTTTATTATTTATTTAATTTTTTATAAAAAAATTTATATAGCAACAATGGCGTTGGGATCCTGAGCATGACGCACTTGTTCGGCGCAAGTGGAAGGAGGCTGTAATTCGTCTAGTGAAAGCCAGAGTTCACAAACTCAAACAAAAATGGCTTTCTGAACCCTATATGG